GTTTTCGATAGTAACATTTATAAATACATATTAGTGACAAGAACACAAATTAATATACAATGTAGTAGCTTGTTACCTTACTTTGTGTAATGTAAGGAAACGCGAGCGCTCTCTCTATTGGGGCATGGGTGGCCTAGGGAGGTGAGGTGATAGAGGATCCAAGATTATTGCACTTATATAGCGACGAGCATGCACATGTGTTTGTGTGTGTGGCTGCTTGTACTAGTCCCGATTGATGCCGATTTATAGTGCTAGCACACTGAGATACCATGCCGCAGTTTAACATGAATACCCTACTCAGACACAGCGAGCCTACCAGTCCTTGTTTAACCATCATATTGCCGAACGCCAGACAGGGTAACAACAAGTACCATCTTTTAACGTCTTTTGGTATGACGCGACCGTGGATCGAACCCCGAACCTTCCGCTCTCCGGGCGGACGCTCTAGCACTGGACCATGGAGGCGGTCATGGGTGGCCCAGACGTTTGCGAGACCGCTAGTCGCTGTGCAGAGTTGCGTCCCTTGGGCACACCACAAACCTATGATTGTGGGTGCCAATCCCGGTTCGCCCCGTTTAGGTTTCTATGTTGTCAGCACAATACCCGTGCTAATGGGTTCCCCCAAAATGAGACCCGCATCACTTCGGGCTTTCCTCCAACATCAAATTGACACGCCGTGATATAACTGGAGTAATGATCAAAGCAGCGTTAATCATAACTCAGTCACTCTATGGCGCGGTCCACAGTTCCTCCTATCATAGTACAGCTTTTCCTATTGTACCTTAATCGATGGTAATGATTCCTTACACGTCTCTCCTTGGGCACTGTATTCCTATGTTCAACTCCCTAGAATGATGGGCATATCTTCTCACCAAGACACGGAACATGATCCACCTTTCCTCTCTACAACAGTGCAGCTAGGAGAGAACAGTACTTACTTTTCTATATAAGTATAATAGCAGGAATAATAGTAGTGGTAGTAGAGGTTATAGCAGAAGCAGTAGCAGTAGCAATAGTAACAGCAGAGTAGTAATAGTAGCAGCAGCAGCAGTAGCAGTAGCTTTAGTAGTAGTAGTAGTAGTAGTAGAAGCAGCAGCAGCAGCAGTTGTTTTAGTAGTAGTAGTAGTAGTAGTAGTAGAAGCAGCAGCAGCAGCAGTTGTTTTAGTAGTAGTAGTAGTAATAGTAGCAGCAGCAGCAGTAGCAGTAGCTTTAGTAGTAGTAGTAGTAGTAGAAGCAGCAGCAGCAGCAGCAGCAGCAGCAGTAGTAGTAGTAGTAGTAGCAGCAGCAGTAGCAGCAGCAGTAGCAGTTGTTTTAGTAGTAGTAGTAGTAGTAGTAGAAGCAGCAGCAGCAGCAGCAGCAGCAGCAGCAGCAGTAGTAGTAGCAGCAGCAGTAGCAGTTGTTTTAGTAGTAGTAGTAGTAGTAGTAGTAGTAGTAGCAGCAGCAGCAGTAGCAGTTGTTTTAGTAGTAGTAGTAGTAGTAGTAGTAGTAGTAGCAGCAGCAGCAGCAGCAGCAGCAGCAGCAGTAGTAGTGGTAGTAGTAGTAGTAGTAGCACTTTGTTTCGTTATACAGTGCATTCAACCACATTACAATGAAGTGATTTTCCGTTATTCTCGGCATACGAAGACGCAACATGTGGGTACAGTGTTGGCGTGGGGGTGTACTAGTTCATCAAACAAAAGTAGCAAGTGTCAGTTCTTGAAATTTTTCGAGGCGAGGCGAAGGTGTTTACTGTAAACATCCCTTAACATTCCTTAACCTTGCACACAGATGGGTACCAATAAAATTCGCCTCCGGCAATGAGCCGGCCGCGGGATTCGACCCAGGGAACTGTCCTACACTGGGCCGACACGCTACCCACTTGGCTGTCCCAACGCCGTTTGTTTGTTTGTTTGTTTGTTGCTTATCATCGATCCACGCAATTGAGATTTGATGACATGCATCGACCAAATCAGCGCCTCTTACGACAAGCTGAAGACCAATTCTAACCCTGATCTTCACGGGTCTGTCGTAGTAGTAGCAGCAGCATTAGTAGTATTAGCAATAGTATTAGTATTAGTAGTTGTAGTAGCAGCAGCAGTAGTAGTAGCTATAGTAGCAGCAGTAGTAATAGTAGTAGTGGTAGTAATAGTAGTAGTAATAGTAGTAGCAGCAGTAATAGTAGTAGTTGTTTAAGTAGTAGCAGTAATAGCAGTAGTTATTTGTTTGTTGTTTAACGTCGCCCCTAGTAATATTCCAGGTATATGACGGCTGTCTGTAAACAAATCGAGTCTGGAAAGACAATCCAGTGATTGACATAATGCGCATCGATCCACGTAATTGGGATACGATGACATGCATCAACCAAGACAGTGAGCCCGAAGACCCAATTCCGTTAGTCGGACAGCAACAGTAGAAGTAGGTGTAGTAGTAGTAGTAGTAGTAGTAGTAGTAGTAGTAGTAGTTATAGTAGTAGTTGTAGTATTAGTAGTAGTAGTAGTAGTAGTTGTAGTTGTAGTTGTAGTTGTACTTGTTGTTGTTGTAGTTGTAGTTATAGTAGTGGTAGTAGTAGTAGTGGTAGTGGTAGTAGTGGTAGTAGTGTAGTAGTAGTAGTAGTTGTAGTTGTGGTAGTGGTAGTAGTAGTAGTAGTTGTAGTTGTAGTTGTAGTTGTAGTTGTAGTAGTTGTAGTTGTGGTTGTGGTTGTGGTTGTAGTTGTAGTTGTAGTTGTAGTAGTTGTAGTTGGTAGTAGTAGTAGTAGTTGTAGTTGTAGTTGTAATTGTAGTTGTACTTGTTGTTGTTGTAGTTGTAGTTGTGGTTGTGGTTGTGGTTGTAGTTGTAGTTGTAGTTGTAGTAGTTGTAGTTGGTAGTAGTAGTAGTGCTAGTGGTAGTAGTGGTAGCAGCAGGTGTAGCAGTAGCAGTAGGAGCAGTAGCAGTTGTTACTCGCCACCTGGGGTATCTTGTTTCAGATTACTACAATGCAGCGGTCCCGTCAGTCCAAGGTATCTGCCATGCTGGTCGTTGGCTGTGTGTTGCTATTCAGTGCGGTCCTGGTCTACAAGCTGCGTGCAGCCTACACGAGGTATGTCCCCGGTAACAGTGTGTCGGTGAAGTCCACTCTTCACTCACTGAAGACTAAAACCCTAGTCACCCTAGAGGCAGAATGAGCTGGAATGCCGTCGGAATGAAAATTCTTTGTTTATTCCTGGATATTCGAAGTGCATTCTAAAAGTTGACTGCATTCTGAGTGCATTCCAAATATTCCGGCCCATAATTGTGGCCGGCCCGAATGTTTTGCTCATGCGAGTGAAGACGAGCAAGGACTAAGACTTAGGTATTAAAATAAGAACTGACATTAAAATACAATTCATGATATATAAATAATTACATACTACTACAATCAAACAGCACGATGACATCCTGATGGCAGTGATTGTCATACAGCACGTTCATATCCTGATGGCAGTGATTATCATACAGCACGTTGACATCCTGATGGCAGTGATTATCATACAGCACGTTCATATCCTGATGGCAGTGATTATCATACAGCACGTTGACATCCTGATGGCAGTGATTGTCATACAGCACGTTCATATCCTGGTAGCAGTGATTGTCATACAGCACGTTCATATCCTGGTAGCAGTGATTATCATAAGGCACATTCATATCCTGATAGCAGTGATTATCATACAGCACGTTCATATCCTGATGGTAGTGATTGTCATACAGCACGTTCATATCCTGGTAGCAGTGATTGTCATACAGCACGTTCATATCCTGATGGCAGTGATTATCATACAGCACGTTCATATCCTGATGGCAGTGATTATCATACAGCACGTTCATATCCTGATGGGAGTGATTGTCATACAGCACGTTAATATCCTGATGGTAGTGATTATCATAAGGCACGTTCATATCCTGGTAGCAGTGATTATCATACAGCACGTTCGTATCCTGGTAGCAGTGATTATCATACAGCACGTTCATATCCTGATAGCAGTGATTATCATACAGGACGTTTATATCCTGATGACAGTTATTATCATACATCACGTTAATATCCCTTCAGCAGTGATTATCATGTAGCACATTCATAACCTGATGGTAGTGATTGTCATACAGCACGTTCATATCCTGATGGTAGTGATTGTCATACATCACGTTCATATCCTGGTAGCAGTGATTGTCATACAGCACGTTCATATCCTGTTAGCAGTGATTATCATAAGGCACGTTCATATCCTGATAGCAGTGATTATCATACAGCACGTTTATATCCTGATGACAGTTATTATCATACATCACGTTAATATCCCTTCAGCAGTGATTATCATGTAGCACATTCATATCATGATGGGAGTGATTGTCATACAGCACGTTCATATCCTGATGGTAGTGATTGTCATACAGCACGTTCATATCCTGATAGCAGTGATTATCATACAGCACGTTCATATCCTGATAGCAGTGATTATCATACAGCACGTTTATATCCTGATGACAGTTATTATCATACATCACGTTAATATCCCTTCAGCAGTGATTATCATGTAGCACATTCATATCATGATGGCAGTGATTATTATACAGCACGTACATATCCTGATTGCAGTGATTATCATACAGCACGTTAATATTACTACAGCAGTGATTATCATGTAGCACATTCATATCATGATGGCAGTGATTATTATACAGCACGTACATATCCTGATTGCAGTGATTATCATACAGCACGTTAATATTACTACAGCAGTGATTATCATGTAGCACATTCATATCATGATGGCAGTGATTATTATACAGCACGTTCATATCATGATTTTTCCGGTTGCGCATGGCATCGAGGCGGACGTGAATTCAGCTGCTCTCAGCCCACGGATATGTTATCCATTGAATCCAGACTTTAACATTATTCCTCTGCCACAAAAAGGTACATCAGTTGATATTTGATATACATGTGATATAATGTGAAAGAAATTTGAGGATATTTCACGGTTTAACTTAATTAAAAACGAACAATGCCAGAGACTGTCAGAAACACACGTGCAAGCTCAACAATGGAGGAGGTCGTCCAAGCCTCAGAGAAAAGGTTAGCTGAATTGATATTGGCGACTAAAGCCGATCTCCAAACATCGATAGACACAATTAAATCTGAATTGTCTGATGTAAAAAAACGGTTTAATGCAACCGAACACGTTATGCTTGACCACACCGACGAAATTAGAGCACTCCGCGAGGAGATAGCTGCTACAAAAACAGCTTTTACAACACTCCAACGGCAGGCCATTCTCAAGAATATCCAGAAAAAACTAATCTCATATTCTACGGGATACCCGAAGAACCGGAGAAGAACACAGAACGAGTTTTGAGAAACTTTTTCATTAACAAACTCAACTTCAGCAACCAAAGAGTTAATGACATATTTTTCAAGATTGCCCATCGCCTCCGAAAATCCGAGTGTCAGTGTGAGAACAAACCCTCAGCTCCTCGCAGTATTGTTGCTTCCTTTCTGTACCTACCAGACAGGGAGGCTGTGTTCCAGGCAAGGAAGCTCCTCAAGGGGACGGGTATAAGCATCCAAACCGACCTTCCAGGCCTTATGAAGAAACAGAGAGCTATCCTCAGTAGACAGGCCAACATTGGCAACAACATTCGAGAGAGGGAAAATCTCTGGACAAGAGTCCGAGTCCTCGGGACAGAAGTTATACTGGAAACTAAAGACCCACATTCCCCATTTTCTGCTTGGAAAACCTACGAGTAGACAATCCGTGATCCAAACTTGCTAATTGATGACAAAAACACATTTTTTGACTAATTCTTTATATGTTTACAGCCCATACATATAAAATACTATTCCCTGGGCACCTATGTTCAAAGGTTGAAAAACTATCTAGCATCTGTCAGGCTTATTGCCAAGTTTATATAATTTAAATTTTGTGACAAAAATCACTAAACCATTGCTGGATCTGCTTTTTAGCATATCTTGTTGTGTTTAAGAATAACATGTAAAAAGGCTAGATAGATATTCAAATAAACCTTACAACTATGAGCAGCTTATTGGAAACAACCTTTGTGCACGTGCCCTGACTATACGCACGCACTTCACGCCGGCTTTTCTTATCTGCTACCACGTGGCCGAGGATAGGCCTTGTATCAGTGTTTCTTTCCCAATGTGTATTCCTACGGATTAATCACTGGTGGAGCTGATATTATTCATTATTAATTAAAGACGGATCAATAACTACTTTGAAGGATATTATTCCTATGTATGTTCGATTCACATGGACTTGGTACTACAAGATATCAGTGAGTATCCAATTGATGTTACATTAGTAAATCGAAATTTCAACTGGTGAAGTCACACAATTGCTATTATCCGTGGGCTGAAAACTACCAGATACCTATGAAATGTTTGTTTTTACTTTGTTTTATTTCTTTCATTTTGTTGCACTACTTCATTCAAATGTACATGAACCATGAAAAAAGTATAGTTATATTTTCCATCACTTTATTGCTACTACAAGGATTAATGGCCACCATTACGGTATATCATTATATCACTTTGCTGCAGTCTGCCATGTTTCATGAATCTATTAAAATCTGCAATGACTGAAAACATCAAGATAACATCAATGAACTGTAGGGGTATTCATGACAGGGTAAAAAGACAACAGACGTTGAATTTTCTTAAGCGTAAAAGGTCCACAATATACTGTTTGCAAGATGTACATTTTACTGAAGATATGAAACAGACAATATGCCAAGAATGGGGTAACAAACATTGCTTCTTTAGCTCATATAAAAGTAACGCTCGTGGTGTCGCCATACTCTTTTCAAATAATCTTGCGTTTAATCTTGACACTATCTTTTGTGATGATAAGGGCCATATGATTACAATTGAAATCACGATAGATAAATATAAACTTGGATTGATAAATTTGTATGGGCCAAATACTGATGATCCGAAGTTTTATGAAGAACTGAACCTGTTGACAAAATCTTTAAGCAGCGATCACATTGTAATTTGTGGCGATTGGAATGTAGTCCAAGATTTCTTTATGGATACATATAATTACAAGCAGATGAATAATAAAAATGCCCATGAGCGTATTGAGCAGTTCAAAGATGAACTCGACCTAATTGACCCTTGGCGATACAGTCACCATGCAGACAGAAGGTACACCTGGCGACAACCTACTCCGCTAAAACAGGCTCGGCTCGACTCGACTATTTCTTAGTTTCCCACAATATGTTATCATCTATAACTAATACATCTATTGAACCCAGTTTCAAGTCAGATCACTCCCCTGTATCGATAACATTCACTTTGTCAGATATGCAAAGGGGGAGAGAGTATTGGAAATTCAACAATTCGCTTTTGAGAGATCCAGATTATGTGAAAAAAATAAGAAATGTCATATCTGAAACTATACGACAATACAAAAATGATAATAGTGATTCTGCAAATGAATTTTCGATCGATGAACAACTTTTCTTTGAAACTCTTTTATTAATGATAAGAGGGGAAACCATAAAGTACTCTTCTTACAAGAAAAAAGAGAGAAATAAAAAAGAACAGGAACTATTGGAAACATTACAATGTAAAGAAATTAAATTGGACGAATGTGAAAAAGAAGATATGAAACAAACTTTATTGAACGAAATCAAGAAATTGCAACTAGAACTAGAAGATATTATAAGGGTAAAAACTCAAGGGCAAATGATAAGAGCAAAAGCAACCTGGATAGAAAAGGGTGAAAAACCAACCTCCTATTTTCTGAGTCTAGAGGCGGCGAAATTTTCTGAATAAATCATTCACTAAAATAGAAAATTCAAATGGGCGTTTGCTCGATAATCCTACTGATATTCAAAACGAAGTCAAACTTTTCTATAAAAAATTATACTGTAAACATGACGTCTCTGAAGTTAATCGTGGCCAGATTCTTAGTGAATATGACGTTCCAAAACTAGACGAAAGTACTTCCAACTGTCTCGAAGGCAAATTAACAGAAACTGAAGTACTTACTGCTCTAAAATATCTTAAGAATGAAAAGAGTCCTGGCCCTGACGGATTTACGGCGGAATTTATAAAATTCTTTTGGAAAGACATTGGAAAATTTCTTTTAGGATCACTTAACTGTGGTTGAAAAAGGCGAACTTTCTATTTCTAAAAAAATAGGACTTATTACCTGTATTCCTAAGGGAAATAAGCCAAAACAGTATTTAAAGAATTGGCGCCCAATTTCGTTACTATCTGTATTTTACAAAATAGCTTCTTTAGCAATATCACGTCGTATTAAATCGGTTCTCGACCTATTAATAAATGAAGACCAGAAAGGATTTATGTCGGGTAGATACATAGGAGATATTACAAGACAAATATATGACTTAATAGAATATACTGATACCTACCAAATTCCTGGCCTTCTTTTGTTGGTAGACTTTGAGAAAGCTTTCGATACGGTTGAATGGCCCTTCTATCATAAGGTTTTAACCTTTTTTTAACTTTGGACAATCTATACAAAAATGGGTAAAGGTATTTTATAGCGATATTAAATCTAGTGTTCTTGTAAATGGCTTTGGCTCATCTACCTTTCACATTTCTAGAGGTTGTCGTCAGGGGGACCCTTTATCCCCTTATCTGTTTATCCTTTGTGCGGAAATATTAGCAATTATGATAAGAAACAAGGCAAATATAAAAGGAATTAAGGTAGATAATATTGAATACCTATTGAATCAGTTTGCTGATGACACATCATGCGTCTTAGATGGTTCAGAACACAGCCTACAATCAGTGCTACAAGTACTAACATTTTTTGCAAGATTCTCCGGACTTAAAGTCAATGTTGATAAAACAAGAATTATTTGGTTGGGTTCCAAAAAACGCAGTAGAATGAAAATATGCCATAATTGGAAAAAAAAATTGGGATCAAGGTAACTTTGAACTCCTTGGGATAAAATTCGACGTAGACTTGGAAAACATGATAGATTCTAATTACAAAAAGAAGTTGAGACACTGTGAGACACAAATGCATATCTGGTCTGTGCGAAAATCTCTTATCATTCCAAAATTAAACGATCTTTTTGCTTCTATACCTAACCCCCCAGAAAGTGTAATTGAAAAATTTGAAAAAACATGCTTTAGATTTATATGGGGAAATAAACCAGATAAAATAAAAAGAACTCAACTCACCTGCGGTGTGAAAGATGGAGGATTAAACGCTCCTAAACTTAAGGAAATTATACAGTCTAAAAAAATCACAGTAATTAAACGATATTATAAACAGACATCTAAATGGGGCAAAGAATACAAAGCCAATTTACCCAAAAGAGGTTCTGCAGAAATATTTGAATATAATTGTTCGAATCTTAAAGATACTCTCAGTCTGTTAATTCGTAATACGTTTTACAGCGATCTTCTCTCAGCCTGGTGGGATTTTACATCCATTGTCAACACATCCAAGTTAGTTACTAATACTATAGCCTCAGAAATCATTTGGAACAATAAAAACATTCTATTGGATAATAAAGTAGTTCACTATCCAAATTGGAGCGAAAGGGATGTACACTATGTCAATGACCTTTTGTGCAAAAACGGAAACTTTCTATCATATGAACAGTTTAAAGACAAATACAATGTGAACACCAACTTTTTAAGATATAGAGGAATATTAAGCGCACTAAAACAGTATTGCTCAATACACTTTGTCGACTTTAAGGACATACAGACCTTTCAAAGCCATTCATACCTACATACCTGTCTGAACTACTGAATGGCAATAGCCAGTCATACTACGGAACCTTGATGAAAAAATTTAATGTCAATAACCAACATTGTGCAAAATGGAACCATATTTTAGAAAACGATCTTGAGTTAAGCGTGTGGCATACTTATAACCATATACCATTCCGATGCACAAAAGATACTGAACTACAATGGTTCCAGTATAAAGTATTACATCATATACTACCAACAAACAAAAGACTTTTTAAAATGCGACTGGTTGATTCGGAGACATGTAGTTTTTTTTCAAAGAGTATAGAATCTGTTTCCCATGTACTGGCAGACTGTAGCAAAGTGAAACCTATATGGCAAAAACTGGAAGAGTGGCTATCAGATGAGATTCAGGTAAAACTCAAATTAACAAGAAAAAACATTCTGCTTGGATCTGATCAGCGACACAACGATCCTATAAATGTAATTATCTTACTTTGCAAATTCGTAATTTTTAAATATAGATATTCAAAAAAGGTACCGAACTTCCAGTTTCTTAAAAAAGAGATTTACAAATATAACATGCTTACAAAATACACAGCTCTCATAAGTAATAGTATCGATAAATTCTACAAATTTTGGTCATCTTGTCATCTTTTGTTTCCCACATAATAATTCTGTCCTCAACTTTTGTTTACTGCCTATGTATTACATTGTATAGCCCATGTGTAAAAATGCAACAGAAATAAAGTTTAAAAAATAAACGATGGCAGTGATTATTATACAGAACGTTCATATCATGATGGCAGTGATTATTATATAGCACGTTCATATCTTGATGGCAGTGATTATCATATAGCATGTTCATATCCTGATAGCAGTGATTATTATACAGCACGTTCATATCATGATGGCAGTGATTATTATACAGAACGTTCATATCATGATAGAAGTGATTATTATATAGCACGTTCATATCTTGATGGCAGTGATTATTATACAGCACGTTCATATCATGATGGCAGTGATTATTATACAGCACGTTAATATCACTACAGCAGTGCTTATCATGTAGCACATTCATATCATGATGGCAGTGATTATTATACAGCACGTTCATATCATGATGGCAGTGATTATTATACAGCACGTTAATATCACTACAGCAGTGCTTATCATGTAGCACATTCATATCATGATGGCAGTGATTATTATACAGCACGTTCATATCATGATGGCAGTGATTATTATACAGAACGTTCATATCCTGATGACAGTGATCATTCTACAGCACGTTCATATCATGATGGCAGTGATTATTATACAGAACGTTCATATCATGATAGTAGTGATTATTATATAGCACGTTCATATCATGATGGCAGTGATTATTATACAGAGTGAGTGAGTGAGTATTGTTTTACGCCGCTTTTAGCAATATTCCAGCAATATCACGGCGGGGGACACCAGAAATGGGCTTCACACATTGTACCCATGTCGGGAATCGAACCCGGGTCATCGGCGTGACGAGCGAACGCTTTAACCACTAGGCTACCCGACCGCCCCTTATTATACAGAACGTTCATATCATGATAGTAGTGATTATCATATAGCACGTTCATATCTTGATGGCAGTGATTATTATACAGCACGTTAATATCACTACAGCAGTGATTATCATGTAGCACATTCATATCATGATGGCAGTGATTATTATACAGCACGTTCATATCATGATGGCAGTGATTATTATACAGCACATTAATATCACTACAGCAGTGATTATTATACAGCACGTTCATATCATGATGGCAGTGATTATTATACAGAACGTTCATATCCTGATGACAGTGATCATTCTACAGCACGTTCATATCATGATAGTAGTGATTATTATATAGCACGTTCATATCATGATGGCAGTGATTATTATACAGAGTGAGTGAGTGAGTATTGTTTTACGCCGCTTTTAGCAATATTCCAGCAGTATCACGGCGGGGGACACAAGAAATGGGCTTCACACATTGTACCCATGTCGGGAATCGAACCCGGGTCATCGGCGTGACGAGCGAACGCTTTAACCACTAGGATACCCGACCGCCTCTTATTATACAGAACGTTCATATCATGATAGTAGTGATTATCATATAGCACGTTCATATCTTGATGGCAGTGATTATTATACAGCACGTTAATATCACTACAGCAGTGATTATCATGTAGCACATTCATATCATGATGGCAGTGATTATTATACAGCACGTTCATATCATGATGGCAGTGATTATTATACAGCACATTAATATCACTACAGCAGTGCTTATCATGTAGCACATTCATATCATGATGGCAGTTATTATTATACAGCACATTCATATCATGATGGCAGTGATTATTATACAGCACGTTAATATCACTACAGCAGTGATTATCATTCAGCACCATCTTATCCTGATGACAGTGATCATTCTACAGCACGTTCATATCATGATGGCAGTGATTATTATACAGCACGTTCATATCATGATGGCAGTGATTATTATACAGCACGTTCATATCCTGATGGCAGTGATTTTCATACAGCACGTTCATATCCTGATGAAAGTTATTATCATACAGCACGTTCATATCTTGATAGCATTGATTATCGTACAGCACGTTAATATCCTGATAGCAGTGATTATCATACATCACGTTCATATCCCGATGGCAGTGATTATCTTACAGCACATTCATATCCTGATGGCAGTGATTATCATACATCACGTTCATATCCCAAAGGCAGTGATTATCTTACAGCACATTCATATCCTGATGGCAGTGATTATCATACAGCACGTTGATATCATGATGGCAGTGATTATCATACAGCACCATCTTATCCTCATGACAGTGATTATCATACAGAACGTGCATATCCTGATGACAGTGATTATTATACAGCACGTTCATATCCTGATGGCAGTGATTATCATACAGCACGTTCATATCCTGATGGCAGTGATTATCATACAGCACCATCTTATCCTGATGACAGTGGTTATCATACAGAACGTGCATTTCCTGATGGCAGTAATTATTATACAGCACGTTCATATCCTGATGGTAGTGATTATCATACAGCACCATCTTATCCTGATGACAGTGGTTATCATACAGAACGTGCATTTCCTGATGGCAGTGATTATTATACAGCACGTTCATATCCTGATGGTAGTGATTATTATACAGCACGTTCATATCCTGATGGCAGTGATTATCATACAGCACGTTCATATCCTGATAGCAGTGATTATCATACAGCACGTTCATATCCTGATGGCAGTGATTATTATACAGCACGTTCATATCCTGATGGCAGTGATTATCATACAGCACGTTGACATCCTGATGGTAGTGATTATCATACAGCACGTTCATATCCTGATGGCAGTGATTATCATACAGCACGTTCATATCCTGATGGTAGTGATTATCATACACCACGTTCTACATGTGTAGCATGCAATATATACTGTCCAAACTTGTCCCATTCATATTTCTATGTATATTACAGGCTGAATCTCGCACTGTCAACTTTCTCCAAGACACATGTTTCATGGCATGACGAAGCAGACGGCCTTCCATACATGTCCCAGATGACCGAGTCTAAACTGTTGAAGGAGCCTCTGACCTATGACCTCAACCGACTCCCATCTGAGGTCCAGTCACGTGTTGTCCACACTTCCAGCAAGACAGTCTACAACCTTGGGGAGACGGTGAAAGTTAAGATCTTGCTGTACGACGCTTTCAAGAGACCCCTGCACCGTGGAGGCGACATCCTGACAGTCTCCATGGATGGTCAGAACGGCGCATCTTCAGCCGGACGTATCATTGACCACCAAAACGGAAGCTATACCGGCATCCTCCGTGCCATGTGGACCGGAAGTTGCAGCATCGTGGCGAACATCCTCTGTACAAGGGAATCATTTGCTATGACGTATCAACTGATAAATGGTTTTCGGACGTCAATGAATTTGACGTGTGTTTTCGAGCTTGAGGCGTTAAGGGAAACAACTCTCGCCTATCCGTCCCCTGCTCCTTTTCCGGGTCAAAGACTGTGTAACCTGACTGCCGAGAACTACGGGATGCCCTGGTACTGCGTGAAGCCGACCACACCCGGGTTGCTGTGCTCGGACTGGACAAAGGTTTCAACAATATCGTATGAAACGTTTCCGAGTTTTAGAGATAAAGTCCTGGATCAAGTCTTTCTTTTGTGAGTTGGAAACATTATAGAAATATATAGTAACGCTAAGAATCTATGGATGAACAACTTCTTTATCACAATTAATAGCGACGTTTCGGTTTTGGTTCTAACACCGTTATCAAGCAAGTGATATACATATGTTGTTGTTGTTGTTGTTGTTGCATTAAGTGTTTAAGAGGTCGCCTTCTGCCTAAGCAATTTCGGCTGACCTGTCCCTCTTTGGGACTCATGTGTGTGAGTAGGGTATACATATCTATTGTGAGTTTGGTATTCAAATAATTTCTGTTTTTGTATTGATATGATTTCTATTTTCGTATATTGATATAATGTCCTTTTTATCACTGCCTGCTCTGTTTATATACGTTCAAGTAGATGTCCATCTCTCAGAAATAGACTTAGTTTGGCCTTCGCTATTGCATCTCTTGGCTTTAGGAGATCTATGACAGATAGCAGATCTAACTGCAATTCTTGTTTTAACTGACTCCGGTCTGGGGCGTGGTCTTGACATTCCAGTAACACGTGAGCAATGGATTCAGCCTGATTGCAAGATGAACAAACCTTGTCATAGTGCTTTTTGTGACCGAGTCTGAGCCGTGGGATGACAATTTCAATTTTTCTTTCATTTGAGTATGAGTTTGGCTTTTGTTGGATCTTGGGTTGAATTTTGTATAGCCATCTACTGATCATACTTGCGTACCATCCGGCTTGCCATCTTTGGGCTATGGAGGCTTTGATTTTGCTTTTTATCTCTAGGTAACTAAAGGGAATAAGCTGTATCTCCGCTTTGTCTAGAGCTAGCTTCGCCAGTGAGTCTGCTTTTTCATCTCCTTGAATATCTATGTGAGAGGTGATCAAACACAGCTCCACCTGTTGGCCTGATAGTTTTGTATATTGGTATAAAATATTGTTGGCTGTGTTTGACCTGGAGTTTGAGTTTCTGCCACTGATGGCTTGCAGTGCACTTAGCGAGTCTGATAGGACGACTGCCTTTGCTTCCGGAAGTTCCAGTATGAGTTTGAGTGCATGATGAATTGCCTCCAATTCAGCCGTGAATACTGACTGACCATCAGGCAGGCGGACCGAATGTGCTTTGGGTTTGGAACTGTGGATATGGATCCTTTAACCAGCACTGTTGTTGAAATGATTCTTGGATCCATCAGTGTATATATGGGCCCAGCTGTCCGAGGTAGTTTGAATTTTAGTGATAGCTACTGATCGTAGTAGGGTTGTGTTTTCCTTTTTAGTGACTTCTGATGTTAAAGCAGTGTCAACTTTGGGAGTTTTTAAAAATCCAGGAAGGGTGTTACCCTTTGTAGTGACTTTCTGGAGGCTGAATGTCGTCACAATTGTGACTTCGGATGTGTTCACGTACTAATATCCTAGATGGCTTTAGTGAGGGATTTTTCCGAGCTACGAGTATTGGTGCTGAGTGAAAGGCCTCACAACAATAGTCTTTTTTTTATGTGATAAGTGATTTGTTGAGGTCCAGTTGGGTGTCCCTCGATGTGCCCCAAGAGGTGCCTGAAATTGCCCGTAATACCTTCAGGCCTTTTGCCATCTGTTTTCCACATATTCTATATGTTTGCGCTAAATGAGGTGTTGATCAAGGATCACCCCAAGAAATATTGCAGAATTTTCGAATTTGAATGGTTTGCTTTTGATGGAGACACGGGGTCTCACAGCATCTTTCCCCCTGCATTTGAATAGAACTCCAACAGTTTTTTTCACTTGAAAGGGTAAATCCCCATTTATTGCACCATTGATCTACTCCATCCAGGGCTGACTGGAGTTTTTTTCTGATTTGTGACATATCTCTGTGCTTTACCCATATTGCTCAGTCATCATCGAATTTAGAAGTTTTGGTTAAACAGGGTTGGGCTTATAATGCTGCCTTGTGGCGTGTCATTGTCCAGTGACATAGGATCAGATTGATTCTTCCCTATTTTAACTGATAGCGACCTGTCTTGCAGGAAGCTGTCTATGAAGTTTGCCATGTTCCCTTCTATTCCTTCTACTCCGAGTCTGTCATGCCATACCATGTTGAAGGCTTTGCTGAAGCCCAGAAATACTGCGGCGAGGTATTGTCTGTTTATTTGAGCCTTTTTTATTTCATTTTCCAGTCTTAGAATATGATCTAGACACGAATGTCCCTTCCTGAAGCTGCTATGATCAGGTTTGATGTGGTTGCCACTTTGAAGGTGATGCATGAGCCTTTTCGTAACCATGGCTTCCATAAGTAAAGATAAGAATTTATGGAGGAACAATTTCTTTATTACAGTTTAAGAGCGACGTTTCGGTGTAGGTTCTAACATCGTCATCAAGCAAGTTGAATTTCATGGGTGACCCAGTGGTATATGTTAGATATCCGTAATTCATTGCCATTTTCCAGTTTTAGGGAGATTACTTGGGTTTCAAGGTTCCCTACGTTTGATTCGATATTTTGTTAGGTACAGCTGTCGTGGACAAGGGTGATTAGTCCTCCACCCTTGTTGCCAGGCATACATCTTTTTCTGTCTTTTCTATATTGGGTGTACCGAGGTAGTGTGAATTTGGCTTTTTCGTTGAGTTTAGTCTCCTGTATTAGAATGACATGCGTCTTTATCACCTGTTATTTAACGAGTGCATTCAGTTGTGGCTCTTAAGGACATTTGTGTTCCACTGTAATTAAAGCAAGTACCCTATTTAGGAACTTTCTTTGTTCCTTTGTATTTCAGTATTTTGGAAGCCAGTTTGAGGATGCAGGTGACTTTGGCTTTGACACTCATTTTCTGCTTGTAATTTGGATCAATGTCGTGGCAGTGAACTTTTTTTGTGTTCTGAGCCATTTGTTTACCATGAGCTGGTGTTTTCTTTGCCTGACTGAACGCCGACAGGATTGTAGGTTGAATGACATTCTTTTAGGCTTGACACGACAATTTGGTAAAGCTGGTCGTCATTACTCTTTTTGTCCAGATTTTTGTCCAGCGCATCTGACATTGCTGAGCCACTTTGGGGTATCCCATTTCAGTTTGATCCCGTTTATGCTTTTGTGCATGTCAATTGACTCTGTAAGGTTGTCCCCGACAACAACATACCCTCTTTCACACTTATTTATTCTAATTATATTTTTGTGCTTCAGCTCATCGGCAATATCTTGAGCTGTTAGGATCTTATTAAGATCTTGGGAGAAGTCTGCGCTAAAGACAATTTTTTTCCCATTTGGTTTGTAGTCTCCTGTTCTGTTTGTCTTCGACTCTGATGAAACCATTCTTTGTCTTTTCTGTACTATTTTAGCCTTGGATGGGCTAGATTTAGGCTGTTTGCGTTTAAGTGAGTGAGTCAGTGAGTATGGTTTTACGCTGCTTTTAGCAATATTCCAGCAATATCACGGCGGGGGACACCAGAAATGGGCTTCACACATTGTACTTGCGTTGAAGCATGCCTTGAGCCCGTAGGGCACTATAATCGATATTTTCTTTGTTTCTAGTTCTATAAGTCATGTTGGCTGGTTTTTGGGGCCCTTTTTTCTGTTGACCAGAGTAAAGGGATTCTCTTCAACTGGGTTGGGCTGACCCTTTAGAGAACTGGGCTGGTTCTCTTGAGAGTTGGGTGGACTCTTAACAATTTCTGGACATAAGTCTGCCATCTCCATTTCCAAGTTCATATTTGTCAGTCCCAGAGGCCTGGGTGATTGACGATGTTGCAGTTTAAGCTTGGTAGGCGCGGAGGGTTGTTTAAAGTACGAGACCTGTGAAGAAGCTTGTTATGTACACACAAGATTAGTAACGATAACCGGTGAAGTCAGTGACATAAACAAAGAATGAAGCCAGTAATATAAACAACTGGATTATGTCTGATTGGGGTCTTTGATGAGTTTATGGTACGCCGGGGATATGCGATAGCCTTGGTCACGGTTGATTGACGGTTGGAGTCTTTTGATGTTTCTGGCTTCTTGTAGTTTCCTGATCTTGAAGTCTTTTAGGTTGGTGGCGAGGGTTGTGACTCTCTCCCACTGAATGCTGTGGTTTGGGTTGTCACGGATGTGGTCTGATAGAGCTGATTTAGAGTCATCTTTGACGTACATTAATTCGGGTTTTGGAGGGCCTATATGTTTCACCTCAAGCAGCTAAAGAAGGAGCCCACCGACAGCCTACAGAAGGAGCACAAGACGTTACTCAACCAACTTCGGGACAGCAATGAAATCGGCCCCACCCTCCACTAAAAACTCATCACCCCTCACCCTAAGCCACCTATGCCCGGGCAAACATAAAAATTCACAAAGACCCCGTCAAAGCCCGTCTCCTAGTCTGCTCCAGAGACACTGTTGGAGGAATAGTGAATGTATTGATCTGTGTGGGTAGGTTTCCGATAAACAGTGGTCTGGAGTTTATCGTTATTACCTTTCTGCACAAGTGCATTAAGGAAGGGGAGCTGCCGATTGGTTTCATCCTCCACTTGCTTGATAACGGTGTTAGAACCTACACCGAAACGTCGCTCTTAATTGAAATAAAGAAGTTGGTCACCCATAAATTATTAGCCTTACATAACATACTACTCCAACTTCTAAATGCCTACCAAGGAAGATATAGAAATATATAGAAACTATGTGAAGTGCATCCTGCACACCCCATTACGCTATATATACCCTACTCATTTTGAGGTATAATAAGCATAGCAGGATCAGTCGGGGTACATAGGATTTTATGTGTCCCAAACGAGGGACGCATAAACCCTGTGTATCCCGCGTGATCCTGCTACAACGAATTTATCTTACCGACATGTTTAAATATGACATTGTAAATTATTTAAACAAATTCAAAATTGATAGAAAACAGTTGTTCGATTGAGCTGAGTTTAACTTGTGCTATGTCACATGACTTTCATTGACTCGGCTTTTCCATGGAAGTGAAGCGGGGTATAAGGGATTTGTTCTGCCTCTCGGAAATCCACGTGAAGCCCGACTTGCTCGTGGCGGGGTATAAGAGATTTATTGTCCCGCTGAGAAATTTATTTCCCTCCAAAACGGGATA